TTGCCCTTTGCAGGCATATAGTTGGGAAATTCAAGCATTCTGCCAGTGCAAGGGATAAAGTTGCTGAACTCCAGGTACAGTACAATTTACCAAAACATCAAATGGTGCAGGATGAGCCTACCAGATGAAACAGCAAATTGTACATGCTCCAGCGCCTTCTGGAGCAGAAACCTGCACTTATTGACTTTACATCTGATGAGGATGCTATGCCACAGCTACAGGCTAATCACTGGAGTTTAATGAAGGAAATGATAATGCTTCTCACACCACTAGAGGAATTCACCAGGAAGGTGGTTGCTGATACAGCAACCGTTTCTCTGATTGGTCCCCTTCTGTGGGGCATGAAAGAAGTGTTGTAGTCACAGTCATGTAGAGGAGTTGAAACCATGAAAACAGATATCTTAACTGGAATAGATGCAAGATTTAAACCCTTGCTACAAGGAAAGATTGTGTCTCTCAACCCTTCTGGATCCTAGATTCAAAGCTGCCATGTTTCCCAATCAGGAAATCAGACATAGAGCTGAAAATTTTCTAAATGAGGAAATGCAAGGCTTGTCAGAATCTGAAAGCATGCTTGTAGGTGAGCTAGTTTTCAAGCATGGACAAGTGCAGGTTGAGGGTGAATCACCCATCTGGGCTACCATCCAACACAGACTATCACAGTCACTGTGTGGGGGGGAAGGGGAACAGCAAGAGGAGTGTTATTCCTTGTCATGCATCCATGGCCAGGAAACCACCAACTATCTTTCTTCTCCTACCATTGCAATTAATGAATCTCCTTTCATATTCTGGAGAGACCAAGGACCTCAGTATCCAAGACTCAGCCAGCTTGCAAAGCAGTATCTTAGCATTCCAGGTTCTAGTGTTGCCAGTGAGACTTTTCAGTAATGCTGGGATGGTATACACTGACCAGCGAAAGCTTCTGTCTCTGGAAAAGGCAAATATGAGGGATTTCTCAAAAGTTCTGCCAGTAGCCCCGAAGTAGCACTTTGTGGCCGCCTCCAATGATGACTTGTGGGCTACTGGCAGGACTTTTGAGAAATCCCTCGTATGTTTCTCTTTATACAAAGCAACTTGAAATTCTTCAACTTCGAGTACTAAGTGAAGCTACACCCTCCAGTGTTGTAGAAATGTTTGTAGGAAGCAATAAACCAGAAGGAAAAAAAAAAACTAGTTGACCTTGACCTCTTTTTCTTTTCTTGGATTCTTGTTTGAAAGCTTCATTCAAAATTTTCCCCCATAATATCGGATATAGAATATTGGAATACAAAATATCGTATTATCGGAAAATTCTAATATCGTTACATCCCTAGTATTACATAAATATCTTTGTAGAAAAAAAAAACTTTTGTTATATAATAAATATGATTGATTACCTTATAAATTTTCCTGAAAAGCAGTTATGTTTGCATTTCATCTTCATGGCAAATTACCTGATGTGTTAACAATTTGCCAGTCATGTCCATTAAAGGTATGAAGGAGGGAACTTTGACATTCTTGACATTTTCTGAATGAAGTGCTACTTCAAAAAAAAAAAAAGTAATTGCTATTCCACCTTCTTGCAAGTTTTATGATGGAACATAGGAAAGAAAATGCCTGATGCAAATCCAATGTAATATTTAAAAAATCCACATTGAAGAGCCTTCAGCATGAAGAAAACATTTCTTTTCACTATTGGATATATGAGTCATGAGTTGCATCACTGGTGCACCTGAAGCTTTCCCCATCAGACCTGGTCCCAAATAAAACTAAACAGTGGAGGGTGGATTTTGGATGCCTGAGGGTGGATTTTTGAACAGAGAACTATTCGATAATGCAGCTTTATTCTTGGGAAAATACATGATATTTCCTGGAAATAAAGCAGCAATATCAGATAGTTCACTGTTCAAAATCTACCCTGAATGTGTGAATATAAATGTAGATACAGATATTGGTATAGTTTCTTTTCCAATATTGGAATTATCGGGATATTGGATATCGGCCAAAAATTCAATATCGTTGCATCTCTAGTGCAAATGCTTGCAAATTACACACCAAGTTAACATCATAGCATAATTTGGAAATTTGACAGCAAATCCTCACGAGGTTGACAGGCAAAAAGATAGTAATTGGCATTTGCTATGGGCACTTCTCCATCACAGAGGAAATGGCCCATTGTCTCCTAATGCCTGATGAGGCTAGGTGACAAAATGCAGGTACTTTCTCTTCCCACTTCTCACTTCTGCTTCCAATTGAATTCTAATTCAAGCACTTCTCATTGGGCTAAAGTTTCAGCTAACCAGTTAACCAAACCAAAATTGAGAGAAAATCAACACAAACTAAGATGAAATTCAGGAATATCTATGGGGAAAAAAAAAAACAACAAACCAATGGGAGAGAGAGCAAAGACACTCTTCCTTCGAAGTGGGGAATGTTGAGCCAAATGGCAAAAATCCATATGTGCCAAGTAATTCAGCTGTAGATTACTCTCATCCTCCAGAGCAGTCAATAATGACAGGGGAGGATCCAGCTCTTGGGAGATTTCAAACTCATGATGCTAAAAGGATAAGACATGGCAGGTAAGTCAACTCAAAATCTTCAAAGAAGGCATTTAGGGAATGGCACCACATGATATTCTTGAGATGTGCCCACCTGAGTGATGAAAATTTGGAAAATTGCCCAGGAGAACTCATGAACTGTCACAAGGACAACAGCAAAGATGAGCATGGAAAGGAAAAAACGCCAGTCTGTCCAAAATGGCTCATAGGAAAATCCCAATTCCACATATTGGGACAGCCACTTGGAAAACTGATTGCCTGTTGAGAACAATTGGAAGTGGAATCAAACAGTATACAAGAAGCAGTTGTGACCTATTCATGGGACATAATAACTTAGAAGCATCCACTACTAAAAATGTACAAAATATTTTATGCTTGAACTTCCTCAAAGGAATTATCCCACAATGACTTCTTATGGTTCCATGAAGCAAATACAGTAACTGATAGTAAATATCCAACAGCAACATTCAAGTTTTTAAATCCAATTATTTTTCTTCCATGGATGCACTAGACCAGATATCAAACTGAATGTACTAAAATTTACCCAAATAAGAACTTAAGCTTAAAAACTTGGGTATGAAAGAAGATAAAAATGAAGCCATTTCAAATCTTTCCCAATGCATGCATGATGCCAAATGTATACATCAGCAACAATGGCAGGAACAATAACATATGAAAAAAGAAGGCCTTGGCTTTTGCTGAGTTGAGCTGAGTCAATACACTGGACTAGAAAGTATATAATAAGCAATAACTGGCCATATTGGCATTAGTAAAAGTGGAAAAAAAAAATTCATATAGAAACATAATTATAAAAAGTAACCATACATGAAGAACAAGGAATAATTCATAGGTCAGCCAACTTACCCAACACCACAAAGGTGAGACAAAAGAAAGGAACATCCCTTAGGGCAGATCTCCAAGCCATCCTGAGGGCTGAGGCAAAGGCAGATTTTCCTTGTATAAACCTGTGCTGCTTGATGCAGGGATAGTTCACAAGGGCACCATTGCGAAAGTAGTGAGCGAACGTCAGGCGGCAACTCAAGAACATCCCGACCAGCAATGGGAAGACCATGAATCCATTCAGACAACGTCTGATAAGAAAATGAATGTTCATTGAATTGGTTGCTGGGCAACACCTCATGGAGATGGACAAAAATGAGGCAGTGGAACAACCTGGTATTCTGGCACATCACAGAGACTTGACTGAACTCTCTTGGACCAAGCAGTATCATTCCCAGCATGAGTAGGATGGTGCTGAGTGTATGTAAGACCATACAACCAATCTTCTCTGGCGCCATCTCTGTCTTCAGTCGCTCAATGCGACGTTTCCTCATTGTGGCAGGGAAGACTAAAATGTACAAAACAGCAGAATCCAGGTCATAGACTCATCTTAACACCTGTGTAGCAAACTTGCAATTCATTGGAGTGAAAGAAATAACTTACCATGGCTAACTTTAGCATGAATCAGTACAAGGAATATAGGAACTGAGGTGACAAGGATGATCCCAAGGCCTCCTGATAAAGTGAAGATAGGGAATGCCTTGTTGGGAGATCTTGATGAACTGGTGAGAAGGTTGAGAATAATGATACATGTCACAACGAAGGACACCGATCCCACAGCTACGACAATGCATGATGCAATAATCCTTGGGATGAACACCTGGAATGAAAAATATGCTATTAAGGGTCTTCCTTCAAAAATGTCAGAAACACCTGACTTTTACACTAGTTTTAAGCACATGTTAAGAGTTTGAAAATCAACTAAAGCTGAACCATTTTGAACTTCCAACAATGAAATTTTATTCTGAACTCAAAACAAAGTTGGCTTGCAAAACAATTTCTAAACCAGACCCCAACTTCTAGTTTCCCATTAGGAATTCATATTAAACTAGCAAAATAAGCTACATTAAGTTTACATGGAAAGAGATAAAGCAACCTTAGAACAACTTATACACTGAAAAGTGGAGTTGTGGTGACACAACAGCAAGAATTGCAGGAATGTGCAAGATTGTCTGAAGTGAATTCAAGCTTTTTCACTTCTTTACCATCTGTTCCCTATTCATTAGGTAGGCTGGTAACCCAATGGCATAGAAGACTCAAAACTCACTTTGCCAACGACTGCTCAGCCCCCTTTTTGTGCTTTTTATTTTTATGTATGTAGCAACTACTTTGTCATATCTCTACAGGTTGGTTTATGGTTGATGGAAGAGGCAAAGACAGTTGACCATATGGACCTGGAGGAAAAGGCAACCAAGGTTAACAGTTAATAAGTAATCACACACCTGGAAAATTTCATGAAGAAAAGTGAAAAGAAATACGAATCCACCTTGCGCGCCCCAAGTACAGTCCAGCTCGGTCATTAGACACGAGACTTCAATGAGTTTGGGGAGAGTAATATGGGGCATCGACGAATTTTCATCATCATCGTCCCACGTGAAGACATTACACCTCCAGCCAACGCTTTCGGTCATAGGCCTATTCTGACGCTTGATGAATTACCAATATACTCACTTCGAGATTGAAGCGCTGAATCTTCGAGTTTACCGGCGCACTCCCAGGATTTAGGCCCACGCCGATGGAGAGATTCGCATTGGGTGGGGCCGACATGATTCACCTGAGGCTTCACTGCTACCTCATCCCTTTCTTCGATGGACTTTCCTTTGTCATGTCCCTACGAACCAATTCGATTGCAGATATGCGACTCGATTTCTTATCAGCTTGATCTAGCTTAGGCTAATGAGAGATTCGGCCGGTACCACCATTCCAAACGCACGTGGCATACATTGGCGCCATTCGCAAGGGGCCCTTAGCAGTGAGGGCAAAACCAAAGCTGCTTGTGCTAAGCAGAAATTCGGTGATTCCAAAATTCCTCGCCAGACGATATTTGAAGAAGGTTGAAACTGAATAGGATAAAATTTCATGACGATTATGCCTCATTTGTATAATGTTGATATTTGCGAATCGCGCTTCCGTTCGCTCTTGTTTTTCCCGAGCCGTGTTGACGAAGGAGGCTGTAATGGCGGCATGCAACGTTGTATTGCGCATTGAGGTACTGCGTAGCAAACGTGAGAACGTGTTTACGGAAAGTGAGCCTTCGCATTAGCCATATCGTATCGCGGAGTAGCATGCGTGTGTAGCGTGACTCTGCCGAAGTCCGTCCGTGGCAATTAGGCTTGCGTCATCGAGTCGGGGACGGCTTCCCGTGTTGCTGAAGTTGGGGTTGGTCGGGGAAATTCGATGTACCTCGGTTTACGTGTTCGGTGACCTGATAGAACCTATTCTGTTGGCTAGGCCTAGTTTTACGAAAAGAAGGGAGTGAATAAGTTTCTCCACCCTCTGGGTTTGAACGAATCATATCTGCATGGTGATGTTCTCATTGTGTTTTTCACTTGAGTCAGACACGTGTATGGGACGTTCCTCATGCATGGGTGTCGAAGTCAAGTGAAAAAGTGTCTAACCCGGTGAAAAACACTAGGAAACTGCTTAAGCACCCACTGGTCATATCCAGGGTGGCTCATGCCCTTCCTATGTCCTGGGGTAGCCCCGCATGCCTTGCTTTTTCAAGGCCCATTTCTTATGTAATACACATTCATTAGGATTCCTAATTTTTCAGGGAAGTACATGAATGAGGGTGGGGGGGGGGGGCAGGGATTGATCCTGCAGTATTGCATAATGGCATCTGAGAAGTCAGTCATAAACCTGCCAGCTCTTTAAGGATGGACAGGCGCTTAACTTTTCACTACAATCAGTCTTGAGGAAAGCATGCTTAGCAGATTTGTGGGACAACAGCAGTTTTGTAGAAGTTGTTATGGCAGACCCATTCTGTGCTTCTTGCCCCTGCTGGTTTTGCTATTTATAGTTTTCAATTTGATCAGTGGTTCAGTAGCCATTAAATTTTAATATAATGTTCATTTAAATTTTTGTCTTTGTGATCTCCCTGCTCTGCTTGAATTGCATTGTTGAAATATTTTAGAAGTGCACAAATTTTGTATTTTCCACAATCCAAGATTACTGTTATAGGGTTCATATGCACAAATATTATTACCAGACTTTTAGGGGGTTTAGGTTGTATTTACCCTTGCTTACATCATTTTTCTGTTATTTGTGTTTTGTTGTCAAGAACAGCCAGTATGGCGTTAGAACTCAAACTATTTTCTATATTCAACATTTGTGAATGTCTTTTGCCCCGCTCTGTATATTGAGTTCCCAGTCTAAATCTTGTGATGTTGATGATTCTCTCCAATATTTTCATGAAGTTGAGGAAACTATCAATCAGTAGTGATGGGCATGCTATTGAGGATGATTCGAAGACCTCTAAGCATGGAGACTGGCCTGTGGCATTAGACATTACATCTAGGTCCATCACTGAAGGGGTGTGGGGTGAACGAGTTAAGATGTGTGAAGAGTATTTGCTATTATTTCATGGATAGAACTGAATCTAGAGCAGCCATGGATATATCCACTGTCATTTAGAAACTACTATTGGGTCCCCTTTATGCCTATGCCTATGTTGGTTATTAAAGAGGCCCTTCCTTGGATCCTATGAAACAGGTCTCATTGCAAGTGTTTAAGTTTCCATTGTTTTTTCTAATTGTGTTAATGAAGAAAATTAAGTTCAGAAGTTATTCAATACTAGCTACATGAGTCTATGCTATAACCTACCTTCTAAGTGGAACCTAACTAGGCTCAGATTGACTGCTTGAGTACTTTTTTTTAGCATGAGGCCTAAGCCATATGACAGGATTAAATGATAAGCGAAGTGCACTGTTCGTTGATTTATTTCCCATCCAAGCATTAACTTGTGTCTGCCACTGTTGCCTCCCAGACGTTATTATTGCATCCGTCGCTCAATGAAGTGAGTTGTGCATTTTTGGATCAGGAGCTGTACCAACCACTTAAAACTTCATCTTCATGCCTGAAGTTGGCCCCTAAAGGCATTAGAACCCTTTCACCTTGACTCTTAAACAGTAGCTCTTTGCAAGTCCTCTGCAGAATATTTAAGAAATCGAGCTCTCTTCCCCACCTTAACAATAGGGATATATTTATGTTCCCTTCAGGCAATTTCCCATAAAGCTACCCAGAGAATGGAAGATCTCCTTCAAGACAAGAATGACAGCAGTTCGGAAAATGCGCTGGTGCTGAAGGCATGCCATGCATCCTACTCGAGCATAGCTTGCATTATTCAGCAGAACTTCAATATATTACATTGAAATGATGTATCATGCCCTCTCACAAGTCTCTCTCAACATGGCAAGAATGAGTCCAATCTGACATGAGCTCTAGTGTACAACCACCAAGATGGAGTGCACAATGTGGGAGCAGGTGCAATGCCATTTGTCAATTATTCACCTCAGGGCACTTTCACTGCAACTCCTCTGATGTTGTCTACTCCCTAAAGGGCAAGAAGTGTGGGATGGAGTGTATTGATAAGGTTGGGACTACATTCAGGTTGAGGTGTGACAATCATAAAGCAAGTGTCAGGAGGCATGAGCCCAATCTAACTGCTTTATTTGTTGACACATCTGGCCAATATAATTTGTGACAGTGGAAATGCTTCCAATAACACAAAAGAAATTCTCTTGATATGAACTAGTTGTATGAGAAGGAATTTAAATATGCATTATAGAACTAAATTAAAATGTTGCATTTATGTCTATATTTATGTTTGTGCTAATCAGCTTGTGTTGGGCCCTTGGATCCATTAAATTAATTTTGAATTTAAATCACATTTCCCAAGTGGAGGATGGAGTTCGACTTATGAATCCTCTTGAGATGTTTTTGCTGCGCTGTTCCACACGAGGGAAAAATAATAATAGGACATTCTCAAGCCTTGGGTTATACTCAGGGATTATCCGATCCTGTAATGCGAGACACGGACGAAGTGAACTTAGAATCGTGTAGAAATGTGATAGTGCTTGGAGCACACTCCCCCTTTCTGAGCTGTGTCATCACAAAAAAAAAATTTTAAGCGTAAAAGCTGAATGGAATTCCATATGATGCCCTCTATCCAATTTTGATCGCCTCGTTCCGCTCTTCCGTGGTTAGCTGTATTTTATGAGGATGAAAATAGTGTCGATTGAAGAGTGGCAGGTGCGAGGAGATTAGGTCACTGGGAATTTCTAGTTCAAGTTTATTATAGATGTGCTCATTTTGTTATTTTACCTTCGTTAAGTAAAGTCGAACTCGGTTATATAACGTCATCGAAGGGACCCTGGAAACCTTCAATGGCATTCCGTTTTCCTGGTTTCAAAACAGATGCTTATATAACGTTACAACTCCAGTGGATGATCGGCCCAGTAATCGTGATGCTCGCACTTCTTGGGACCTTGAGTCGCTTCGTGCTCGTAGTTGAGCGAGGCCGCGTCGACGTCACGCCGACGGTTCTGCGAAGTTTCCTCTTGGTTTGCGATGTGTCGTCGGCGCGGATGAAGCCGATTTTCCCGATTCGTGGAAACAGATGTCCATGCTCGCGAGCGACGTTGGCTTCGCGTCGCCCACTTTCTATTAATAAAAAAAAAAATAATCGTGCTCACTTTCCTTTCGATCGTGAAGGCTCTTTCGCATTCCACTGGCCATGTTTTGTCAACGAGAAATGCAAATGGCGACTGAAGATAAGATTTATCTGTTAATGGGGATTATCCCTTCCCCACCCACACGACTCGCAAGGAATGCCAATTCCAGGAAAGACGAAGTTATGACCCGCCAACGCACATTTTCCCGATGATGGGAATTCCAGTTAAGAATGTCGAATTAGGACAACGACTTAGTCGATTTCGTCATTGGGACCTTGAATAGACTTCTTTATAACCGAGTTCGACAGTATGCTGCTTTGTGTTCTTGGAGGTAATGGTGTAGAGGGTAATTGCAATTGAAGCGAGATCCTAGTCAGTGGCGTAGCCAAGTTTTCGTCAATGGGGGGGTCTATGCGGAACGTTGGGGGGGGGTTTACTTCTCGTCGGGGCGGGGCGGGGCGGGGCGGGGGTGGGGATGGCGGACGCATTTCGACCAGAGTTGGGGGGGGGCTTCAGCCCCCCCTCGCTACGCCACTGATCCTAGTCTGTTTTTTTTTTTTTTTTCTTTTTTACCGGACAGCACACTCAATTTCATTTCCGTGATTCCAATGGAACCGCCCAGTTTGAAAATTCGCCGTCCGTGTTTTGAAATTGCAGTCGCTCAGGTGAGGCCAGTCCTGATCTCGGGAGAATGCCGTTATTTTCCGCCTTGGCAAAATCCGCAAATGATACCCTGAAGAATCGACGGGAGGAGCGCACTGTTATTACAAGGTGGCGGTGGTTTAACTGCACTGGGTCGGGCCAGTCGAGCACATGTGCACGTCGGCTCGCGAGCCACTCAAGGGTGACAAGTGAGGACTGAGAGGGGGAGGCAAGTGAGGACTGAGAAAGGGAGGCAAGTGGGAGAGGGAGGCGCCCTTCCGAGCATCTGTCTCACCGGAGGGAAAAGAGGGGCGGTAAAAAAGAAAATCCCATTTCTCGGAAAGGAACCGTGAGGCGTTGAGTCCCGATAACCCCGAACTTCCAAGGCTTTTTCCCTCAGTCGAAATATTATTTCCTCCAGCGTTTCCAGGAATTCATTCTGCAGATCGATGTGCTAACCTAATTGAGCTGTAAGGGTAGGGTTTTTTTTTAGGAGCTGCTTTTTTTTTTTATCAGCGCACGCGTTTCATTTCTTCGTCTTTCCTTCTACCCGTTATTTCTGGCCGATCTCGGAAAGAGAGGAATGAGAGACGGCGACAGACCCGGGGACCGCAGGTTTTTATTTTTGTGGCAAGGA